GATTCCTATGCATTTACATATCTAACACCTAAGCTTTGCTTTGTACATTTATGTCACCTAAATCTTTCATATCACATAAAAAATATCACTATTTTAACTTCTAAAAAGTGAAATACACCTTTCCATGCATAGGTAAGGTGGTATGCATGTAAAAATAGAAGTTTAGGTGTTAGGTTTGTAAATACATACGAATTGAGTGGTATGTATGTAAATCTTCCTAAAATTAATGGAGTGCAACTGAAACAAATTATACCTTAAAGGTAAGCTTGTGGGGTAGATGCGTTCCTCTAGATGATATGAACATAATGGCTGTTCAGACGTAGCTATAAGATATTTGTCATCTCCCTCCCCTGTAACCTGCAGAAGGTCAATTTACAAAATCATCTATTAACCAGAAAGGCATATATGTGTAAATCCATTTATGAAGGGTTGCTGTTGCGAAAAACGCAAATAATGTTCATGTGATTTTTTGCACAACCGTGACAAAAAAAGGGCATTTACATACATAACACCCAATTCTATTTACACATCTAACACCTAAACTTTGCTTTTTGCATTTATGCCACGCAATCTTTCATATTACATTCAAAATACCACTATTTTAACTTTTAAGAAGTGAATGCACTTTTTCATGCGCGGGTAATGTGGCATATATGCAGACACATCTAACACCTAAACTTTCCTTTTTGCATTTATGCCACGCAATATTTCATATTACATTCAAAATACCACTCTTTTAACTTTTAAGAAGTTAATGCACTTTTTCATGCGCGGGTAATGTGGCATATATGCAGAAATTGAAGTTTGGGTGTTAGATATGTAAATACATATGGTATGTATGTAAACCTTCCTAAAAAAATTGTTAGCTTTAACTAAGAGGATATCCAAAATAAGCAGGTTTAAAAGAGATTTATTCTTTTTGATGTTAAAATTTGAAAGATGTCATGAAATATCACGCATTAGATTTGTAAACTTTCCCTTGACCAAGAAATAAAACAGATCTATCATCATTATAAGCTACCTTGTAGAGCTCTTCATCGAATTGAGCAAGCTGAGCACATTTTTCCATGATTTCCTTCCTCATGAAAAAAGGAGTTTGAAGGGGTTCGTAATTCCTTTTTCTCAGAAATGCCAAACCAAAGCTTATTAGTGCAAGGTTCAGAAAGACACCATCTCCCTTCAAATAATAACCTCTTCCTCCAGCTACAGCAGCTCCTGCATTGAAAAAAAAAAACACTTTGAAACCCAAGTGGGAGAGTACATAAGAATAGACAAAATGTTGCCAATATTGCTGCTTTTTTTGTTACAATGCACTGTTCTCTGAATCATTTGCAAGTCAGATTTGAGACTTCATTCAATTAAAGGTAAATTACAGAATGATAAACCAAGAAGTAAATCATATTCAAACTTCATTTCAACGCATAATATGAATTACAAATTTGAGGCATCATACGATTCACCCGTTTGAGCTTGACGGACACCACCCAAGTTAATGTTTCTATATTAACTTCAATAAGTGCTACTGCCATTGTTTCTTCAATATGACCAATTTCACTCGATCTTTACACATGTTTTTGAATGTCCTTCTTAATATTCTAAATTTTGTTACACTCAACTCGGCTATAAATTACCTTTTATAAACCAATACTAAGATCCACATAGTATATAGCTAGACTATTTTGATCTGATAGAACTTACATTTTAGTCACCACAATATTCTCTAAAAATATATCCAATTTTCTGTATACTAAATTATAAATAATTTAACCAAACACGTATAAATCAAATGATCTCAAAAAATGTAAATTTGCAATATTTTCAAGAGATTTCCAAATGATTGAACCAAGTTCCAACTATTTGTTATGGAGGATCTAAAAACCCATAAGTTTTCAATATTTTCAAGAGATTTCCAAATCAATTTAAAATCTTCAGATTTTTTAAATCTCAAAAAAGTTCCCTATGGTTCCCAAAAGTTTAGAGAGTATTCATGCAGGATTTGATCAAGTCAAAAATCTGGATATAAGGGGGGGATCAGGTGGCAAAATGGAGTTTACATTGTGATTACCTTAGATGGAGGCACTAATTGCTAAGTGTTGCATTAAAATAGCACCAACATTACATATTCTACATGGGTCGATCATATGGAAGAGATATTCAAGATACTTTCAATGCATTTGCTTGCTCTAAGGATTGGTTCATATTTTTCATGTTTTAGTTATCTACTATGCTGATTTGGTTACTAATTTTTAGAAAGCTAGTATATTGAATTTGAGTTTGAGTATGAAGGGATAATTACATGCATGGCACCCGAAACGTTAATATTTATAAAATCTAGCACTCCCGTGATATTTTTGAACTACAGAGCTGATGTATTTACTCGTGCCACAACCAAACGATCGAGAATTTGATCAAAATGAAAAAAAAGGGCTGGGGTTTTGCCATGAATTCTGATATTTGAGTGAGAATTTCAAAAATGGATGAAAGAGGGTGCTTGATTTGTAAATAGGAATGTTTACGGTGCTATGCATGCAATTGCCCCAATGGTAAAATGCAAACATTTTTTTAAGGATTAGAGATGAAATAAAGCTAAGGATTAGAGTCTGATATTTAAAATAGCATTCATCTTCTCTGACTCATAAGCCATGTCTATCAAGTCCAAAAACAAAGGCAATTTTACCTCCTGCCTGAAGCTAAGGGCTTCAATAATCTAGAGAGGTATTCAAACTCGCTTGCCCGAACCACAAATCTCAATGTTATAGTTAAGAAATCAAGGTTTCAAATGTAAATTAGGAATTCACAAGGAAAAATTTATAGTTAAGAAATCAAGGCTTTGAACTCTAATCTAGTTGGGTGAATTTAGGTCAAGTTTGGTATAAAATTTTTTTGAGAGTTTCCTTATTAACAATGATTTACAAGGGCGAAAGAGCTTCATAGGGAAAATCTAAGAAGCTCTCCAAACCCTAATTCATTCCAATTGGTACTAAATTGAGTAAACTACTAAAATCCAAGGTTTAAGCATGTCAAATTAGGTCCAATGGACTATAGATAAGACTTAAATAAGCAATGGGGCGGCCTATGATATTAAGTTTGAATCTTAATTTATGCCAAACAATGGGACCTATGATATTAAGTTTGAATCTTAATTTATGCCAAATAGGTACAAAATAAAGAGTTTGGACATGAATTTTCAGACATTTGAGAGTAGAACCAAAACTGGAGGAATTTGCATGCTTTGAATATTCAAAATATAACTCCACAATTCAACTAATCAATGAGATTTTACCTCCACCGTATAAATAGATTTTCAATATGTTGAAACTAACTCTAACAATAAAGTAAAGAAATGATGATTTCAGCCACAAGAGCAGGTTGTTGAGTTTAATAAAAAACTATATCAATTTTATAGTTATTATGATTCTCAAAAACATTTATCTTTAGTCAAAATCACAATTCTTTGGCAAAATAGCTTTTCATAAAGGATGCTTAATAGACTTGAAATGAGAAATCTAATTATAAAAAAAAACATGGGCACTTCAAGGATGTCGTATAAAAAATTAAATTTGAAAACTAAGGATCCAATTAATAAGCATCACAATCAAAGCGCTGAAAAAACACGAGCAAACATAATCACTGCTAATATGTAGATTTGCTAAGATGTCTCCAGTCTAGATTCCTATAAAATAATTAGATATAACAAAGGCTGGTTACTGAAAGGGCATGTTTTGTGATTGTGGAACACAATAGATTTGAATTAGTTGTTTAACGTTGCTTAAATATTCGTTCAATTGCATTCTAAAAAACCTAAAGAGCAGGGATCATAACCTAGAAGCTCTTGCATACAAATCATTCTAGGAACTATGTTGAACCTTCATATTTAAATCATTTTAGTTAGCATTTTCATTGAAGTAGTTTGATTCGAGTAATTCAATAAATTATATTGTGTGCATGTATATGAATATAAACATGTTTCCATATTTATGAAAATGTATTATCACCCAGTATTCAATATTATAGTTCAAAATATGCACTGCTTCTTATCAAAACTATCAACCCCTCTAATCCCACAAACACCACTTGCTCCACGATAATTATTCAATCCCATAAGCTCCTATAAATATCACTAGTACTTTTAGTCCAAAAAAGCTTTATTTAATCCAATCCCAATAAGATCCAATTGGCTCCACCTACCTATATTAAGGTGGAGGATAAATAATTGCATATGCTTGAGCTTAAGCCCGATCTAGAATCAACAGAAGCCTAATTCTATGCATGAGTTTGAATCTAGTATATAATCCAAGCTCAAGTCAACAAAATAAACAAGATTGAGAAAAAAAAATCAAGCAAAATCGTAATTATAGATTCAAGCCAATCTCATTTGATGACTTCATTTCATAGCAACCTAACATAGACATACAAGAAATTCCCTAGTTCTTAGCATTGTTGACTGCTCCATCACAAGTCCAACAAGTTGAGTTTGTAGTTGACAAGCTCTCATTAGTTCTACTTTCAATAATGTAATGAAGCTTTTGAAGGCTACCTAATTTGATAATGATTCCTCTTATAAAGACTTCTTATTTAGAGGATTCATCTCAATGTCTTCATAATTTATTTATTTCCTAGTTATTCACCGCGAAGCAATCCAATTTCACAAAATCCCCCTACCAAATGATCTTACTCAGTCCCTCAAGCTCCACTTATTCCTAAATAATTCACCCACCTCAGTAGCCCCACCAGCCAGCATGCCCATCTAGAGGGTATGTTGATCAATTATTGAATATACAGACATAGAAGCATGTGATATTGGGCAGCAAGCTCCTATAGTCCCTCAAGCTCCACTTATTCCTAAATAATTCACCCACCTCAGTAGCCCCACCATCCAACATGCCCATCTAAAGGGTATGTTGATCAATTATTGAATATACTGACATAGAAGTGTGTGATGTTGGGTAACAAGCTCCTATACGTCTTCCAAACTATATTATATATTTGCTTTTGGGTGTATTAAGAACTCCACCTAAGCCTATTCCCAGACCAACTCCTCCATGGGCAACAAGGAATTGTTACCTATATCCCAAGGGAGTTGATGCAAAGCATTATCTTCAAATGATCGCTACTATTTTTTATTTATGTATTATAATGAAAGTAAATGAAAATTTTCTTATTTGAATGGAATTCACTTCTTCAAAACTTCCTTAATTGAGAACTTCTTCCACATGAATGCCTCTCGTTTAGTGGATCCCTCATGGTTGCTTTTCTTTCTTTGTTTGCTTCCTAATTACTTTAAATGTTGCTCAACAAATATAGGCCAGATGTAAAATGTTTTCAATAAATGAAACGAATATGATATTATGAATAAAAACTAAAGCAAGGGGTTCCTCGAGAGCCTCTCCACTCTTGATTCACTCCTAAGGTCTATTCTTCTCTCACTGAGAAGGCATCACAAGAATTAACCTCTTTCATATTACAATAAATATGTATCAAAAAGAGATGAACTGAGCAATAAAACGTAAGCTAAAATCACTGGTTATTGGCATTATTTTGAATCAATTTTGCATATCAATAATTAACTTGTAGAAAATAAATAAATAAATAGAACAAAAAAAGTACCTTTCTTCAAATCAGCAATGCCAAGCTTCTCTACGAGCTCCACATGGTTTCTGAGCTTCCCTTCAATCCTTCTCTCACCCCACGTCCTCACCACCTGGTTATCTGCCTGCAAACACCACCAGACATTTATTATGTGGCTTCTTTTAACCCCTGCATTATCTTTCCGTCCAAAACAGTAAAAGCCAAACCTCATCCATGCTAATAGGAACAGAATCGTGCACAAGGTTCCCAATAGTCATGAGTTTGGCTTCAAGCTCAGCCTTTGCTTGCTGCACCTCTTCGGTCTTCACCGTTGCAAGCCTCTTGTTATCCTCCGTGCTCTTTATCTTCTCAGACGCATCTTTCTTCGCCTTCACCAATGAACAAATTTCCTCAACCTCTCATCCGGCAAATCCTGCCGCTACCAACATAAAAATTCAATCACATATATGATTAAAAATAAAAAAAAACTCACTATCTTTAGCTGCGCAATTTCCTTGTTGATACGATTGAAGTCTTTCCGTATACAATCAAGCTCGAATTGTCCTGCAGAACAAGCAGATCAGAATCCAAAGTCAGCGTCCCCAACAGGACAAGGTCGGAAATAAGCGAAAAGAGAGGTTTTGAGCGAGGATTACGTTGGCGCCACTCCTTGTCAAGCCGGATAACCTCGTCAATCAGCTCCACGGAGGCGCCGCGGCGGCGCTGTGATTCGCGTACCCGTTCCGGGTCATTGCCCTTGTCCTCGCGGAATAGATTGATGTCAAGCATCCCTCCACCCCACTTTTCCTGCAATTCACTTACAAAGCAAACGGACCGAGAAAGTAAGCAACCAGCGAAGGGAGAGTGTGGGAGAGGAGGATGAACTGTAGGGTAGAGAGAACGAGAACGAGAGTAACGGGGTGAGCTAGAGAGATTGGGTGACGAAGACAAAAGGTAGGAGGAGAAGAGCAAGGCGCGGAACGAAGGAGCAGAAAAGGTGCGGGAGCGCAGGGAGGCCAGTCGGATGCCGCAGCCGAAGACCGCAATCAGAGAAACCCTAGATCACAGAAATGACGCTTCAAATATTTCCTCACGTGTGGTTTTGCATTGGGGACGTTTACATTCCAAGCACACAAATCTTACGTATTTACACCTCGTACCCAAAATCTCGCGATCTTAGTCCCAATTCATCCCTTGTCAAATAAGATTTAATTTAAATGGGATGTAATAAATGTTACAAATTCAAATTTATCAAATTCTGCGTTTGTTGATTTCTGAAAACTATTTGGTAGATTAATAAATAAATTTTTATAAATTCTGTGAATTTGTTTGGCAAATTTTAGCATGATTTAGTCGGATTTGATTAAATGAATTTTTTTACAATTAATAGAATTTAATTTTTATATTTATACCACTTAAATCTTCAATATTATATGTTAAGATTACTTTAAATTTATATCATTTCTAATTATATTTGATTTGTGCTAGAAAATTCACGGTTGTAGAGTAGTTGGTTATCTTTATTGTCTGATACGAAGATTCAACACGCACTAAGTAAATAAAAAGTAACTAATAATCACACCAAAAGTTTTTAGTGAAAAACCAAAAAATGGGAAGAATCACGGGGTCCGACAATACTGAAGAGATTCACTATAAAATGATGATCATAGTTGCAACCACTTGTTCTACAGGCAAGAAATGATTATTAGGTTTTCCAAGTTATAATGTTGATGTGCTGGTGAATTTTTTGCTAGAAACGGACGGCGACCAATAGCAATTAGTGGCGTCCGATCGACGGTGGCCAGCTGTAGTCGACGGAAATTGCTGGTGATCTACGTGATCGATGGAGGTCAATGGTGGTCAACGACGATTAACGGCAATCGACTAAAGTCGATGACGGTCGGCGGTGGTGTTGTTGAACATTAATTCCTTCTCAAAGCTTCAAGCTCTTTCTCAGATCTCAAACTCTCCTCCCTCTCATGAGAGGGGTGAGACACTCTTTGTAGTGTTTTGGGTATAATTAATGCAAGACTATGAACTATTTTGATTGGACAGTTCAAAGAGCTTCCTTTGATCATACGGTGTTACATGGACATTTGAGTGTCATAATGAAGTCATAATTGAGTGATATTGGGTTCGTTGAATTTGTCTTATTGAGACACTCGATTTTATAGCAAGCTCATTAAGTTCGACATTCATTTAAATTCTCAAAAATGTTCAGAAAGCTTCAAAAATTAGTTTAATGACATGATATGAGCTTGATTTTACTTGGGTGAGATTAATTTTAGTATATTCAGATCCCTTTCATCAAGTTGGTTCCGATCTGGACGACTCTTAATTGAAGTTTGAATATTTCTTGATCAAAAAATTGTCTTGAGATTTGTGTCATGCTTCGAGATTCGTGTTGGATGATGGAGGTTTGGTTGAGGCATATCAAAATTAATTATAGATTGACTTTTTATTTAGCTAATTAGACATTTATAAAAAATTATAAAATGATTAATCATTAATTAAACATAAACTAAAAACTTTATTAAACCAATTGAATATTAATTTAAATTAATTAATCAAGAATTAATTATTTATAAAAGCTATATCAGATGTAATAATTAAATTTAATTTATTAGCACAGATTAAATTGTTAATTAATCATAAATTTGAAATTATTTAGTTTAATTAAATTTTATTAAACTAATAAATATTATTTTATTTTATTTTTTATCTACCTTCCACTTTGCCCCCTCCCTTTGCTAACCGAACCCAAAGAAACAGAGGCCCAATATATGAGAATGAGAACTCTTTATTATTTGTTGTATTTTTGTTTACGTTGTCTGACACTAGTAGTGCTACTTAAATAAGCAAAACCAATGGCATATTTGTAAACATTATAGAAGGTGGAAAAGATATTTACACAAACAATGCTATAGAGAGATGTTGGCAGAAGATTTTGATTTATTATTTCTCGAAGTAGTTGCTCCAGCCAGATTATTTCTATAGTTGTTCTTGTTAAGGCTTTGTATTGTACTTCTGTAGATGATGAAGAATCGTAGTCTTCTTTTTCACTGACCAAGGTAATAGAATTGAGTCAATATAAACACAGAATCCTGTGGTTTGTTTTCTGTATAGTTGGTCATTTACTTGGTTAGAATCTGCATATAAAGAAAGATCAACCATGGTTCCTTTTAAATACTGAAGCAAGCGTTTAACTCGTTGAAAATTATTGAATAGTGGCATTATACATGTGATTAACCGTAAATGTGATATCTGGTCTTGTCACGGTTAAATACTGAAGGGAACCAATAATCTGTTTATAGAGTTGGGATCCTTCGGGAGAGTGGAGGATTCAGTAGTTTTATATGAAGTAAAGGAAAGAGGAGTTCAAACCGGTTTAGCATGTTGCATGTTTGTTTTGTGCAAAAGTTCTTTTAAATGTTGAGCTTAAGTAATGAAATAGCCATTTAGTAGAGGTTTAATATGCAAGCCAAGAAATTGAGATATGGATCCAAGTTATTTTAAGTTAAACTTCATGCATAGTTCATTTGATTAACTTTGTAATTGTTTGATTACAATTTTCTGTGATGAAAATATCGTCAACATAAACCAGTAAATGAATGTGTATGGTATTATTTATGTAGATCAAAAGAGAAAGATCAGCTTTACGCAATTGTAAATTGTGCTTGCATAAAAAAATACAAAATGTAGAATACCACTAACGAGGTGCCTACTTGATGGCATAAATATTTTTTGAAACTTGCAAACATAATGAGGAGATTGTCTCATGTAAACTATATCATCAAGTGTACCATTTACTAATGCAATAGATACAACAAGTTGTTGAATATACCATTTTTTATTGACAACAATGGCAATGAGCATTCTAATAGTGAGGAATTTTGTCACAGGACTAAAAGTCTCGTGTTAGTCAGTTCCTTATTGTTGAGAATAGCCTTGAGCAACCAATCTCGTTTTATATCTACCTATAGTTCCATTAGTATTATATTTATTCCTGAATGTCCACTGACATCCCAAAATATTTTTTTTCAGGAGGTGACTCAAGTTCTTATGTACCTCATTGTTGCAAAGCAAGAAATTTATCAGACATTGCTTTTCCCCACCAAGAAAGTTTTGCAGCTTGGTTGTAAGGGTTGGGTTCTTCAGAAGTTTGAATATGATGGTGAAGGTTAAAAATGTTCTTTGGTATTAAATTACCAATTTGAGCACATGTGATAATGGGTTGTTGTTTTGCAGTGGGATTGATAGTTGGTTGTAGTGTGGGGGAAAAATCATGTGTGATTGGACTTGAGGTAGTGGTGTTAGGTTCACATGAAGAATCTGAGATATGAGATGTGAAAGAAGGGATTGAGAAAGAAGGATTAGGTGAATGTGGTAGAGCATTGATAAGTTTCTCTTTTAAAGAAGGCAAAGTTGATGTGATAACATAAGTGGGAATTAGAAGAGAGGGGTAATTATAGGTAGGTAGAGAGGATTGGTAGAAAAGAATAGTTGTTCATAAGTTCTGTTGCCAGGAAATATGAGTTCAATAAGTTTAACATGACAGGAAACTATGAATTTTATTTCCTAAATATCATAACACTTGTAGCCTTTGTGTTGCAAGTCATACCCCACAAACATACATTTGGGTGCCTTCGGTGAATGCTTATGCTAAATATTGTGATGTTGCAAGGGAAAATAGAAGCAACCCAAGGTTTTCAAGTGTTAATATTCAGGTGTTTTTTGATAAAGTAATTAAGATAATGAAACTTGGTGTGTGTTAGAAGAGAGAAGCCTATTGATGAGATAACCAGCTGTAGGTACAACTTCCATCCACAGATTCATGGGCAAATTAGAGGAATTAAAAAGAGTCCCAAGAGTTTCAATGATATGACCATGTTTCCATGATGGACTTGAACTCATTATGTTGTGAAGCAAAAAGAAGGCTCTGGTACCATGAAAAGGAAGAAAGAAGACGACAGAAGAAGCAAAGGAGAGGAAAGAAATAGAGATCCAGAAAATAAGAAGGAAATCTTTATTATTGATGTATTTTCATTACATTGCATGACCCTAATAGTGCTACTTAAATAAGCAAAAACCAATGGCGTACTTGTAAATATTAGAAAGGGTAGAAAAGATATTTACACAAAAAAATATAGCAAATATATAATCTATTCAATGCAGCTCGTGCCCTAGCCGTGGAAATCAACTCAAGAAGCGCCAAACCCTCTGAAGAGGATATGAAGACAACCACAAGTGCAGAACTGAAGGGAGGAAGAAGATGAAAAGAGATAGATCCAGCTCTAAGTGAAGTCTTCTTCTGTTAAATATAAATTATTGGGGCATTTACATATATGGCACACAATTTTTATGTATTTGCATATCTCACCCTTAAATTTCATATTGGTAGACATAACACCCAAATCTTTAATATCACGTCAATGAGAGCGCTATTACCACTTTTAAAGAAGAAATACTTCTTTTCATGTCTATGTTTAAAGCACCAAAATGATGTATATGTAAATGCATATCTCACCCTTAAAGAAGAAATATATAATAATTGCAACACACATAATAAAGAAGAAATACATAAAAATGCAACACACAATTTTTATGTATTTGCATATCTCACCCTTAAAGAAGAAATACTTCTTTTCATGCCTATGTTTAAAGCACCAAAATGATGTATATGTAAATAAAAGATTTTGGGTGCGTGATATGCAAATATATAATAATTGTGTGTTGCATTTGTAAATTTTTCAAAATAATTTGAATTACAATATTTTATTATATAAATTAAAGACATTTACATACATTCCATAGCATTCCTGTGTATTTATATATCTAACACTCAATTTTTTTTATGAAAAAGTGCATGTCACTTGTAACACGAGAACAATGGTGATATTATTTGATGTTGTCTAAACATTTGAATGTTATACATATGTATAATATAAATGTTTATGAGTTAGATATGTAAACCCATAAGAATTGTGTGGTACATATGTAAATAAGGGTGAAAACGAGCCAAGCCTGAGCGAGCCCAAGTTCAACTCGTGTTCAACTTGTTAAAAAATATTATTGTTCGTCTTTGACTGGTTTATATATCAAGCTCAAA